TAAGCTTTATTAAAATTAAAACTGAAAACTATCTCAATTGATATAATTTATTTATAGTAATTAATAAATTTATCTTACTACTTTTCACGTAAAAAAGTATTCTTACAATCTCAAACATGTTGATCTTAAAGAAATATCACTCCAAATTATATATAGTATTAAAAAGATCAATAAAGTACAAGTATATCAAGAAGAAATTAAAGTTAGATAGAAGAAATTCACTCAGAAAGATACTCAACGACTTAACAAAAAATTTTAACAAGAATGCAGATGGGATAGTAGATGATCTCTTGATTGGAGAGGACCCAACAAGAAATGCTGGTATTAGAAATACCTAGACACCTGTGAACAAAAATGCTGCTAATGTTATGACAATCTTGCTGACTGGATTGCAATTGAAATTCATAAATCATATCGAGCAGAACTTAAAACACCTGAAAATTGGGCTACTGAAATTGAAAGAAAACTCTTTACCAATAATTGAGTAAAAGAAAGCTTTGAAACTTTTGAATCTGCTTTATATCATATTCATCTAATCATTCAAATTGAATAATGCTTAGAGTATGAAAAATTTGCTGATAAATATTATACTAAAGTATCTTTTTGAATGAATAGAGAAAAATCAGCTACTTGTAACAAATATATTAGTAAAAAACAATTACATCTTCTGGCCTGTTCATAGTGTGAAGACTGTGATGAGGCTAGAAACATGTATATTACTGGAAGTTATAAGAAAAGATACTTTTGCATCTATGAATATTAATATATCTTTTGGTTTAATCATGGAGAATGGAGAAGAAACAATAGAACAATTAACAAACTTAAAGAATGAGAATCACTATTAGAAGTTTATGAAGAATATGATGAAATTAGCAAAGCAATCTTATTACTATTCATAATGAAAGAAGACTTTGAAAATGAAATTGAATATGAAGATTCTGTAGAAGCCTCTGCAACTGAAATCTTTTAATCCATATATTAACAATTAAGTCCTATTAAAAGACAATAACTTGCTCGTCTAGAACATATCAATATCAAACTTTGTCAAGAATATCTGATCCCTTGTGATAATAAAAAATATAATAATTGTGTACAATCTGAACTATTTGTCAAAATAAATAAAGAAAAATTAATTATGATCTTGGAACTAGTGTTTCTATAAACTGAACTGAACTAAACTGGACTTTTACTTAGATTCGAATTTGGTTCAAAATTTGAATCAAACTCAAACCAAACTTTGGCTTGTGTTCAAGAAAGTTTGAAATTCAAACCAAACTCGAACCAGACTTTTATTAGAGTTTGAATTAAAGATGGCTCAGCAACTGTTGCAATGTGGTGACAAATAAAACATTACCTAGTTGCAACTAGTTGCAGCTTATAAAATTTTGGAGTTGCAACATGTTGCAACAGGTAACAAATAAGTGTCACATACTTGCTACGCCATCTTTAGTTCGAATATAGTTTGATGTTTGAACTGAACTCAAACTGGACTTCCATTTAAATTTGAGTATGATTCAATATTTGAACTGAACTTGAATTGGACTTTTATTTGAGTTCAAGTAAGGTTCGATATTTGAACCAAACTTCATTTAAGTACAATATTTGAATTGAATATGAACCAGAACCAGAACCAGACTTTTAGGTGAGTTTATGAAAATTCATACCAGATCTTTGAATTAACTTATAATTTTTAAGTTCTATCAGCCATTTTTAGCTGAATTCAAAATTAAGTTAGCTTTGCAGTTTCTAGTAATTAATATATAGTTTAAAATTATTTATAATATATCAAAGCATAACATATCAAAATTATAATATTTTTATTTTTCAGAAGCATAAATTATTCAGAAATATGGAAAAATATAGCATAATATTTATTTTATTTATGGAACCATCTTTCAAATCAAGTTGTACTATATCTCTCAAATTGATATCTCCTTCTTTTTCATACCATTCATTCTTGTTATCATTCCATACATCTTCAGCTTCACTTTCTTTTTCATCATCTTCATCTATAGTCTTATCCTTCTTACTTTCAACCACTCTCCTCTTTATCAAACTCATCCTCCACTTCTGCTGTCTCACTCTCCACTTTTGCTGCCTCATTCTTCTTCATCATCAATTATATTCTTTCCAGTAACTTCCTCACCCTTCTTATTTGTTGTCTCACTCTTCTCTTTATTAATAATCTTCTTTTTTTGTTTTTCTGCTTTCAAAAAAGATACAAGTACTTTGGGTTACTCTCTGAGCTATTTTAAATGAATTTTCTTTTGCTTTTTCAATTCTTCATCCCTCTTTCATTATTAACTACTGTTAAGGTTGCTTGCCGAAATCCCTTAGTGACTATCTAAATTTTGTCGAAATTATAATAAACTATTAGTAAATAACCCGTCGAAATTCTGACGAATTTTGAAACCCGTCGTAACTGAAATTATGTCGAAATTCTAATTAACAATTAGTGTGTAACCCATCAAAATTATGATGATATTTTTCTGAAAGAATTTAGGCAAGCATCCTTAATCATGACAGTATGCATGGAGTGAATGCTCTGGTCCCAATTCCATGTAAGATGGGTGGCGTTTCAGTCGATTGTATCAGTGAATTCTTTGTTTAACAAAGAGTGAATATTTGAGAAAAATTGCCAGAGAAGTTTGAATGAAATGCGATCTTGAGTTTTGAGAGTATTTCTGATGTTGTTGATAATTGGAATTGAGTGATTAAAAATTGGGTAAAAGTTGGTGTCTGGTAATTTGTTGAAATTAATAGAGAAGAGAGAGGCAAAACATACAAATTTTGTTAGAGTGTCTGCAAATTCGTTTCCAGGATTTTTTGAGTGTCCTTTTACTTTAAGGAGAGTTATGTTTAGTCTGTTGTTAGTAATGGAGTCGTTAATAATTTTCCAATATGACCAGTTGGTGTTTTGAAAAACTTTTCTGCTGCTAAAACAGTTTCTATTGGTAATATTTATATTAAAACCCTATATAGTAAATAAAGAGTCTGTATATACAGTTGCAATTGTGTGTGGACTAAGATTCTCTGTGAGCATACATAGTGCAGCAATTTCAGTAGATATAGTGGAGATATATTGTGATGGGATGTCAGTTTGATTGATGTCAGGTGGCCATGTTGTCCAGGCAGAGCCGTATCTGACAAAATTTGTATTAATTTATTGAATAGAGCCATCAGTATAGATTGTTAATGAGGATTTGTTGACTAGTTGGTTTTGTATGCAAGTTCAGGTGTAGATATTATTATTGGTGATAGATAGTTTAGTGTTGTGAATAGAGGTGAATGAAGGTTTGTAGTAGCTTTTTTCTGGTATCCAGGATGTGTTGATAATTTGACGGGATGAAGTGGAAATATTTAGTGTTCTTTCTTCAAGGAGTGTGAACCACCATGATTTTGGTCCATGTTTGGTTTGACAAAAATGTGATTTATATTGTTTTCAAGTGATGAGTTGTGTATTGTTGTATTTGGTTAATTGTGATAAAGTGAGTACATGATCTTGTCTTAGGATGTTTCTGCATTTGGCGTATATGGGCCATGGATCCAGGATATTTTCAAGCAGCCATTTGAAGTGATTGTTGAGTTATATAAGAGTGTTGATTATTGTGTGATGTATAGGATAAAGTGAGAAGGATCTTTCTGTTAAAAGTGGTAATATATTTGCAATAAGATTTTTTCTGGTTGGTGGTTGTTCAGAAGTTGGATTTTGTAAAATAGAGATATGACTTCATCATTGTTCCTGAAGGACCTGTAGGTGAATGTAAGTAACTTGATCAAGAGCAGTTGGATCATTAAGTCTGTAGAAAAGTTCACTGATTTTGCTTCTGGATTGAATATAATAGATATGATCTAATGAGTAAAGTAGAGAGTGATGAAGAATTTCATCTGGTGTGCTGGTAGCAGTGTGTATTTTCTTTTTGAAAACTTTTTTAAAGAGACGTATAATTGAATTGCAGTCAGTTTTGGAGAGTACAAATAATTGAGATTTGTATTCGAGAGCTGGTATAAAGACGCGATTGATAATGTAAATGATTTGTTTGTCAATAAGTTTTTTTTGAGTGAGAAGGTTTGATAGAGTGTTGGCCTCTGCTTTGATTTTGCATTTTTGTGCGAAGAAAGAGTTATCTGCAGATATGAGTAGACCTAGATATTTGGTACACATATGTGAATGTAGGATGATCAGTCTGTTTTGGGAATGTCCTAAGTATAAAAAAGTATTATCTATGTCTGCTTTGGTATTAGTGCAGATTACTTCTGTTTTTTTTGTATTGATGTCAATATCGCACATGCTGTAAAATTGTGTGGCAGTATTTAGAATAGCCTGAGCTGATATGTTGTTATTAGCAATCCAGACAGTATCATCTACATATGCGAGATTGGTAAATGTGAGAGAGATGGAGTTGCTGGTGGGATTTGCCAAGTCAGTGATCCAGTTAGAGGAGATAGTATATCCATGTTGAGAGTAATGTTGATTGATATGGCAAAGTAAGGGGTCGTAAAAAATGCGTCATAAAATAGGAGCGTTAATTTCTTCTTAATCTAAACCATCGAGAACATAATATGGATCTGTATTGCCGTATTCAGTTATGATACAGTTTTGTCATTGTTGATGAATGTTTTTGCATAATTGTATGTAGGACTGGTTTATTTTTATTCTTTTGAAAGCAAGTTCTAGTATTTCCCAGCTAACTGAATCATATGCATGCTTCATATCCTGGAAAATGATCCAAGCTTCTTTTTTTTCGTTAGCATCTTCCAAAATAGAGTTGACGATGTGAAGTGAAGTGATTGTTGAGATATTTTTCAGCATAGAAAAGTTATTTCCTTGCAGAATATTGCTATCTGAGCATATTTGTGATATTCTGGCTGTCAGAATGTGTGAAAGTTCTTTTCTTGCTATTTCAATTAATATAATGGGTCTTGTATTGTCAAGATTGCCTTCCCATTCCTGTAGTTTAGGTATGAGGATGATTTGTACATTTTTCCACTCTGTGGGAATATCATTTTGTTGGATACAAAGATTGTAAAGATTTTTCAGGAGATTATGCATTTCAGGCCTTGCTTTTTTGAGTAGGATGTGCTTTATTCCTGATGGACCAGGTGCTTTGTCTGATGAGATATTAGCAAGCATTAGCTGAATTTTTTCATTTGTTATGGATGCAGAGACTGAGTTGAATGTATAGTCAGAAATGTGATTTAAGAGTTGATATTGTTGCTGCCATGAGTCATCAGGCCACAGATTGTGATTGCGTTTCCTTGTCCAGTTTGTGAAGTGATTTTTGATAGTATTTTTAATGATTGCAAGATCATCAGAAAGTCCATTTGAAGTGATTACTTTGTTCAATATTATTTGTTTGTGATTTTTTTCCAAAATATTGTTTAACATAATGCCATGTTGTGTGTCAAAGCGTTGTATGTTTAGTTGTATTGTGTTGTTGATTTGTATAAATTTGGTGCGTTATGCTTTATATTTGTAGAGTTTTCTGAAATTTGTTCTGTGTGTGATTAAAGTTGATAGAAAATTAGAGTTGGAATATGATATAAAGTCAATTGGAGGAATTTGGATTGAGTTATCTAGAGAGTACAGTGTATTAAGAAGATAATTGTGTGATTCAATTAGTGAAGATTTTGCTAAGTTATTATATAAATTGTGAAGTTTGTTGAGGTGAGTGAGAGTTTTAATGATTTTTAAAGTATTGGTGATGAAAGTTGGTGGTGTGAATTCTTTTTTTACTTTTTTTTTGAGAGTGGAGTCAGTTGCTGTGAGAATAATGTGTTTGATTTTGCTCCAAAGAGTGTTGATGTTAGAGAGTACAAGTAGATCAATATATGAGCTTGAATTTTTTGTGTATAGTGAAAATTTGAACCAGGTATCATCATCTAGTTTACCAGTAACATAAGCGTATCTTTTGTTTTTGAATCGTTTGATGATGTGAAGTGGTGTTTTGTGGATGAAATTTGATACTATATAATCTGAAACTACAAGCGAGTGATCAGTGTCAATGAGCAAGGGATCCATAATAGCAGAATGTTGTAGTGTGGTTGATAAATGTGATGTAGACCAAATCATATCAAGATGCCTGAAGATTGCAAATCGTGATCATGTGTGAGAGATTTTTTCTGGATGAATTGTATTAAAAGCTTCTGATAGGTCATTGTTATATAGTTGGATGATAATTTCATTTTTTGAATGTTTGTAGATATCTTCATTGAAGTCTCCAAAAATGAAAACATGAGTGTTGTGTGTTAAGACATTTTTGATATATTTGATGAGTTTCTTTTTTATATGGTTATCAGGTGCATTCGTTGATGCAGGGAAATAATAACTAATGATATGTAAATTCATGATTGAGAGATTTTTCTAATTGGTCCATTCTGTGCATGAGAGATTGTTGTTCACTGTTCATGATTGAAAGTTGAGAATTGAGTTTGGTATTTGTTTGCTTAAGATGAATAATTTCTTTTTCTTTCTTATCCACGAGCATGCTGAGATGCTTTTGTGATTGTAGAAGAGGTGGTTCTTTTAATTCTGTGATCATGGAGGATGTATTGAATATTGGCATTGTGAGAATGTGATTGTTGTGATTTTTTTCATATTTCTCGATGAAAGCATCAAGTTTGGTTTCAATACGATCAATTTTGGAGTTGATGAGATTGAGTCATTGATTAAAATCAGATATATCTTTTTTGAGTTTGTTGATTTCATCAGCGTATTGATGTTTTTTGTTGGTGTTATTATCTTTTTCCTGTAAGAGTGATGAGTTTATGATTGTTGAGTTTCATGGTCTTTGTGTTTGTTTTCCTTCTGGTTTTGTTAATTGTGATGAGCTAGAAAGATTTTTGATTTTGGGATTATTGAGCAAAGCTTTTTTGTAGTTAAGAGTTGGTAAGGTGATAATTGGTTTACGATAATCAATATCACGTCATTTGTAGAGTTTATTTAGCTGTTGGTACTGTTGGACTTTTTTGTTTTTGTAGGTGCACTTTTTTGTGATGTGAGATGTAGATAAGCAAATATGACATGATGAGATTTCAGCATTTTTCCATATAAGTTTGTT